AAGGCTGTATTAATCTCTCGTTTTCTATTGCTTTGCTCTTTTCCCTTCATGGCTGTCTCTTGTCTTCTCCTTTCTCCTTTTTCCTCTCTTGATATTTCTGTTTAGTTATCTTTCTCTCTCTCTCTCTCTCTCTCTCTCTCTCTCTCTCTCTCTCTCTCTCTCTCTCTCTCTCTCTCTCTCTCTCTCTCTCTCCTCTCTACATCTCTCTCTCTCTCTCTTACACACACACACATTAATAATTACGGGTATGTGTAATTCCTAACGCGTTCTTTTATGTATGCATGTGTCTGTATCCACGCAACAGAAATTCGAAACACGTGCCCTCTTTCAAAGGCAAAGTGCAAAAATAGCGATGAGCTGCACCGGAGTCAGAGCTGCCTCGACCCCAAGCGATGAGGTTTGTCCTTGACCCGGCATTAATAGCAAAAAAGAAAAGAAAAAAAGAAAAGAAAAAAAAAAAAGAAAAGAAAATATACAAATCACAATTTCGAAATTGAAATCCTTTTTATTTCTCGCTTTGATACCGAAGAATCATTCTCATTCCCCTTCTGAGAGCTTAAACCCTTAAAGAAAGAAAGAAAGAAAAAAGAGAACCAGTTCTTTATCCTCCTCCTCCTCAGAAAGAGAGAGAGAGAGAGAGAGAGAGAGAGAGAGAGAGAGAGAGAGAGAGAGAGAGAGAGAAAGCAGAAGAAGAGAATAATAAAAAAAAAGGTTGCATAGCGAATGAGAGACGAAAATCAGTCCATGATAAACGAAAGTTCTCAGCGACTTGATCTGCCTTGTAAAATTACTGAAGGCGGGAATTCTCAAAATCATTGGAGTCGCTAGACGCACTATGTTGTGAAAAAGAAATCTTATTTTTCATATTATTTGAAATAAACTAATTTGAGATGTTTCCGACATACTGATAGATCTATGCATAATGCAATACCAGCTTTAATATTTAGTGCATTTTAACATTCTAAATTGTCAAAAAATCACTTTTAAATGTGAATAGATAGCGAATGCATTTTTTATTAACATATTTCATATCTTTTCACGTATCCCAAATATCAATATAGGGATATAAGAGGAAATTCAACTCACTCAGCAACAGAGTGAAAGGGTTAAGGAATGACCTTCCCTTCTTACCTATAATTTTCTCTTTTACCTGTAGGATTCCCACGACCTCCCTTTTACCTGTAGGATTCCCACGACCTCCCCTTTACCTGTAGGATTCCCACGACCTCCCCTTTACCTGTAGGATTCCCACGACCTCTCTTTTACCTGTAGGATTCCCACGACCTCCCCTTTACCTGTAGGATTCCCACGACCTCCCCTTTACCTGTAGGATTCCCACGACCTCCCCTTTACCTGTAGGATTCCCACGACCTCCCCTTTACCTGTAGGATTCCCACGACCTCTCTTCTATCTGTAGGATTCCCACGACCTACCTTTTACCTGTAAATACCCACGACTTCCCTACGTTTACCTGTAGGATGATCCCTACGACCTCCCCTTCACCCGTAGAATTCCCACGACCTCCCCTTTACCTGTAGGATTCCCACGACCTCCCCTTTACCTGTAGGATTCCCACGACCTCCCCTTTACCTGTAGGATTCCCACGACCTCCCTTTTACCTGTAGGATTCCCACGACCTCCCTTTTACCTGTAAGATTCCCACGACCTCCCTTTTACCTGTAAGATTCCCACGACCTCCATTTTACCTGTAGGATTCCGACGGGGTGACAATTCTCCCATCCTTATGCCACGACACCTTCATAGGCTGGTCGCCCGAGACAGGACACCGTAGGATGGCGTTGGTCCCGCTGCCCACGCTTACGTTCTCTCTGTGGCTGCTGAACCTCGGTGGGGCTGCGGCGGAACAACGGTGGAACGGTGAACAGTGAAGGATGAACAGTGCACAGTGAACAATGAAGGATGAACAGTAAAGGGTGAACAGTGAATGGTGGATGATGAATAGTGAAAGATGAACAATGTACAGTGAACAAGGAACAATGGATGATGAACAGTAAAGGGTGAACGGTGAACAATAAACAATGAATGATGAACAGTAAACGGTGAACAGTGAATGATAAATAGTGAAAGATGAACAATGGACGGTGAACAATGAATAATGAATGATGAACAGTAAACGGTGAACAGTGTGCGTGTGTGTGTTTGTGTGTGTGTCAACTGAACTCAATAAAAATGTATTTTTCTTCTCTCTCATATAAAGCTAATTCACTATTATGACGCCTGTATTTTTTTTAAAAAGTACCAAATATCAGTTTAACACATAATCAAATAAACAACAACATTCTTTAGTCAGAGATTAAATTCAGGGTGATAAAGAACAACAGATACATAATATTCATTTTCTTCTTTCTTTCTTTCTTCCCTTATCTATATTTTATCTTAATTTTTATAGTGTAAAGATATAAGTACTCTGACCGCCCCCCCCCTCAAAAAAAAAAAAAAAGAAAGAGAGAAAAAAAAAAAAACAGTATAAACTAAAGTAAAATGAATCGACCCTTTAAAGCTAAAACACCCCCCTCCCCCCCGTTCAAAAACAACAGCAATAGTTAAGTAAAACAGATTCAAATCAAACAAACCCATTAACACCGAAACAGCCAAGCAACACCTGAGTGCCCGCGCGTCCAATGGCGTCCTATGGCTATTCGAGACCTATGGCCTTCACCTGGCGACGTTTCGAAACTCACCATTAACAGTGATCTTGACAACCTTGCTCAGTCCGGCGCCGATGGTGTTCGTGGCCTCGCACAGGTACCTTCCTTCATCCTCCTTCGTCACCTGCGTCAGGAACAGGGAGCCATTGGCGAGTTGCTGGACGCCTGGGGTGCCTAGCAGGTCGCGATAGGTCCCGGGGGCGTTTCCTGTAGGCAAGGATGCTTGAGGGAGAGGGAGGAACAGAGGGAGAAATTGGCGAGAGTAAGGCGAGGTGTTTGAGCATGAAATAAATCAGGGTTTTTGGTTAAATCGTGATTGTTTTTTTTTGTTTTGTTTTTCTATGGTTTTATCATTGTTATCACTATTATTGTTTTTTGAACTGCAATCATAAAATATCGTTCAGAGTTGTAGTTATTAATGTCATGTTACAATCAGTATCAAGATCGTTATCACTATCACCGTCATAACCATCATCAATATCATCTTCATGATCATCATCTTCATTGTCATTATTTTCATTATCTTTATCAAACCAATAACTACACTAGTATAAGCATAATATCTCTTACAAAACAGATAGCAAATTCACATACTATAACACCGACAAACAATTAAAACAGACGATATAATAACACAAATAACCCCACATCCCATAACCACGCCCATGCTACCATGGCTTTATTAAGCACCGGAAAACGCCCACACTTACCATGGGCTTTTCTCCAGACAACCGTGGGCGGCGGGAAGCCCTCGGTCTGGCACGGGAGAACCACATCACGCCCTCGAACCACACTAACATCAGCCGGTTCTGTCACCCATCGAGGAGGAACTGTGGGCGGTTTGATGGAAATGGGCGTTAGTATGTGGGCGGGGTTGTGGGTTGAAGTGGGAGGGGAGCTGTGGGTTGGCGTGCGTTTGGGTAGACTCGCTTGGTGGGTAAGACTGGTGGATAAGTACATGATAACGAATAGATTGATGGGTAAACTTTGGTAGGTTAGATAACTAATAAAGTGATGGATAATGTCGCGGTGGGTAACACGGATGGGTAAGAAAATGAATTAGATAAAGTATAGAAAAAAGGATGAGGTTGATGGGTAAATCTGATAGGTAAGAATAGAAGAGAAATATTCAATAAACTGATGCGTGACGTTGACTAGGAATGAGTAATAATTCATGAGTAAGACTGATACGTAAGAACATGAGTCAGACCATGAATAAATCAATGGGTAAAGTTAGTGGGGTAAGGCTTACGGGTAACGCTTGGTCGGTAAGGATAATGGATAAACTCGGTGGGTAAATGGAAGGCCATTTTAGAGGTTACTGATGGATTGGCGGATAACGAATGTTTGCGCTGAATACAGAACCGACTTGACCATTAACAAAGAACTAAACTTATCCTTAAACCACGAAAAAGATAGACAATAAATGAATAAACGAGTAAAAAAAAACACGATGAAAATAGATTAATCGATAATCAGATAAATAAAACTATAAAAAAAAAAAACAATAACGATTTACGACGCGCCGATACCCAATCTCTTATCTCTATATGAAAAAGAAACACAGCTTTCACTTTATTCTCAATCTTAGAAACAAAAAACAAGTAAATAGATAAATAAACTAAAATAAAAAACAAACTAAATAAAAAGTAAAATTAGGATAATAATAATTTTTCTCCTCCAATGGGAACCTGACGTAAGATTTATCCCCTGAAACCTCGCGACACTGGAAACCTCCGTTCGTTTTCGCACTAATTGTGAAACTCGCGGATTCTTTCCAGATCAAGAGACGAGAGCAGATTAGCCAACGCGGTGCCAATTAGCAGGGGAGGCGAAATCCGGGATGGGGAGGAGGGGGAGGAGGGGGGGGGAGGGGGAAAGGAGGGATGGGAGGGCGGAGGGGAAGGGGGGGAGGGGGAAAGGAGGGATGAGGGGGGGAGAGGAATAGAAGTGGGGAGATAAGAGGGATGGGGAAAGAGAATGGGGGGGGAGGGGGAGGGGGAGGGAGAATGGAAGGAAGGAAGGGGAATAGGGAAGGAGATGATGATGGGGGAATGGGTAGAAAGGAGGGAGAGATGGAGAAATGAGGGAGGGAGGTGGAGGAAAGTTCAGAGGGTGATGGTAGATAGATATGAAGATGTTGGTTGATAGGGGGAAGTGGAGAGGGGGGGGAGGGGTAGGAGAGGTGGTACAAGGGAAAAAAGGGGTAGAAGGGAAGGTGATGGAGAGGGAGGGATAAACAGAGACGAAGGGAAATACGTTGCGATGGCGAGGGAAGGAAAACGGGTGAGGAAAGAGGGAGGAGGAGCGAAAGGCAGGGAATTGAGTAGTGGGGGGGGGAGGGAGCGAGTAGAGGAGAGGATGGGGAGGGAATAACCCAGCTCATCATTATCATGGAGTGGAAAATGGTGTAACCATCAGTTAGGAGAAAGTGGGAGGAGATATAAGCTATCTTGAAGTAAACAAAAATTAGGAAGAGAAATGAAAAATCTCAAAAAAAAAAAAGACGAAGGGGGAAAAAAGTGATCTTAATCCAGAAGATGCTCTTGGGAAACAGGATCTGAAAGTCTTTTTATCAAGCGCTAGAATCTTAAAGGCAGAATTTTACACTTTCTATTTTTTTTTTTTTTTTTTTTTCAGCTAAATGAAATTTCATTTTCGTAATATACTGCGGGGAAAATGAAGATGAATATAGAGTAAGGTTACTATGAAATTATACTAGTATAGTCAGTAACCGTAGTTTTCATAATAACAATTTAATCCATACTATAACACGAACGCTGAATGCTAGATTTCAATACACACTGAGTAAGTCAATTCACAGGTGTAAGTGGGTGTAAGTATCAGGAGGATAGGATTTTTAGGATATGAAGTGGATGGAAGTGGAGGAGACACTTATAAAGACACTTATAAAGGAGATAGTAAAGTGAAGTGTGTCAAGGAGTTCATAATAAGTTTGATATAGTACAAGTGCATCAAGAAATTAAGTGATGATAACAATCAATATACATTTTTTAAAAAAGATTAGTGGATACGTGAATTAGATATAGTCGTTCAAAACTACTAAGAGTCAAGGAAGACTTCTCCTCAGCAGCTGATCCGTCTTTCTGAAATTGGAAAGGAGAGAGAGAGAGAGAAAAGAAAATGGTGCTGAGTGTGTTCAGTGCTGAGTCAGAAAGACAGCATACCAACCTCTGACTCGAGTGTGCTGGTGTATGCAAAGTGGTGCTCATGTTATATAGAAAAGCTGATTGGAAACAGACAAGCTCTAAAGCAACAGTTGTGGTGACGGCTGCTTTGGTGCGCCAAGGTACTCTACACTCAACCAAGTCAGTCTGTGGCGGCAGAAAGGCGCACTCTTATTCTTCTCGAGGTTTCTCACTGATCACCAGGGCAGGGATGCAGTATATATATGCGATTATACGTATATATATAAATATATATATATACATACATATATATATATATATATATATATATATATATATATATATATATATATATATATATAATATATATATATATATATATATATATATATATATATATATATATATATATATATATATATATATGAGCATACACAGTACATATGTATATATGAGTGCGCGAGGCTCCACACGCACTCAGCCTCGATGGAGCCAAGAGCGGCTTGACGAGCGAGAGGGGAGGCTAAGCGGCCCATCCTGGCGAGGCAGTGCGTGTGGAGCCCCGCGCGGCGGTGCGGGTGTGGTGCACGGGCGGTGGGCGGTGGGCGGCCGGTGCGGTGAAAAGCTACTACGGTGCAGTGCGGCGTCTCTACCCCTACGGCACCATGCAACAACCGCGACAACGGCCGGCAGGGCGCCATGAGCAACGGCGTTGTCTGAGTGGTGCAGAACGGGCGTGGAAGTGCGGAGACAGCTGGCGGCGGGTCTACGTTACCGCTGACGGTGAGCGGGGCCGTGAAGGAGGCGCTGCGGGCGGCGTTGGTGGCTTCGCACGTGTAGTTACCGGCGTGGGCGGCGCTCAGGTGCGGGATGATAAGGATGCTGGAGTAGGCATCGAGCTGGCGCACCTCGAGGGCCAGGTCGGCGGCCGGCCCGCGGCGCAACGGGTCCACGGCGTCCAGGAAGCGGCTGTCCGTGAAGGGCGCGCCGTCCTTGAGCCAGCGAAAGGTGACGGGGAGGTCGCCCTGCTCGAGGCCGCAGCTCACCTGCACGCGGATGCCGGCGGCCGCGTTGCTCCGGAACGAAAAGGGGCCTATCCTGGGGGGCACTGAAACACAGAGGGGGCATTAGGGGACCGGAAAGGCGGGAGGGCATTTACCGTTCACGAAGAGCGACGCCGTCTGTCGGTCGGAGGCGGCGCGGTTGGAGGCCTCGCAAGTGTAGTTACCGGCGTGGCGGGGCAGCACGTGCGCGATGCCCAGGTGGTTGTTGAAGTCGTCCCAGGCGCGCAGCGTGATGTGCGGCTGCCCCTCCAGCTTCACGCCGTCCTTGTACCACGTGATGCGCAGCGGCAGGTCGCCCTCCGTCACGGCGCAGGTCAGAGTCAGCCGGTTGCCCTCCGACAGGTGGTGGTCTTGGTTGAAGGGCAGGATACGCGGTGGCACTGTGCACATTAGCAGGCAGCTGGTTATGGGGACACCTATGCTTGCGGCTCTTTTACTCCAGCAGCCTACCTAGACACTCGCGGTTCGAGGGTTTTATTGAGAATCATTTGCAAAGATGAAAGAAGAAGACATATGGGTGGAAGTGAAAAGTGGAGCATTTTAGGGGAAAAAAGAAATTAAGAAAATATGCATGGAAAAAAGGGGGACATTTACAAAAAAGAAGATATATATGTAAAT